AAGTCAACCCTCTGTTTTTGCAATGATCACAGCTGGGATTCCACCAGACTGGCAATTCCTTTAGGCCCAGCGCCTAACAGCTTGAGAGCCAGTGAGCTGACGGGGCAGTGTGCCAGTGGGTGAGATCATCCTGGAGAGGCTTGCATCCTGAAGCTCAGTGTTGGATGTGCTTCTCAGTCAGCAGTGACTTCAGCATGTTTCCTGTTGCCTGAGATGAGCTGGCCCTGGCCTGGCGTTCATGGAGACCTTAACAGCAAGGGCAAGGCCTGCCATCTTCTGGAGGCTTTGAGGCCTCTCTAGCGTTGCCCAAACTGTCCATGCTCCCTGTCCAGGCCAGAGTGACTGCTGTAGGATGGAATAGATCATTATGTTGTCATAATGTGTGTCAGGAAATAGACCCTGTGAAGATCCCATATTCAGAAATAAGGAGACTAAAACTTACAGTAAAGAAATGTGAAATGGATGGGGTTGGGGATTTAGCTTAGTGGTAGAGCACTTGCCTAGCAAGCTCAAGGCCCTGGTTTGGTCCTCAGCTCCAGGTGTGTGGGGGGGGGCATGAAATGGGGGCCTTAAGACAGCAGTTACTCAGCCCTGTTTGTCCAGCACATTATCAGATCTGAGATTGGAGTGTGGGTCTAAGACCCTTAAGTTCAAAGTTCTTCAACAAGGACCATCAAGATGGCTAAGCAGGGAAAGGCATTTGCTGAGCAAGCCTGGTTACCTGAGTCCCATCGCTGGAGCCCACATAAAGATGGGAGAAGATAACCAGTTCCACAGAATTGCCCTCCATATGTACACTGTGGCCCTTCACCATGTGCGCGCGCGCACACACACACACACACACACACACACACACACACACACCAATGATAATATTTTTAAGTTAACTGCACTGATGTTTTTATAGGATACTGGAAACATCAGCATTTCCATTTGTCATTCTCTTTCTACAGAGCTAGCAAATGGGCTGTCTGACTTCTGCAGAGGGAGAAATGATGCCTTTATAGTGGAGACTCACATTTGGAATTTCTTCTGAGTGTAGCAGGCCTGGCCTTTACCCCTCATTCGGTGCTTATGAAGCCTCTGAAATGAGTGAAAGTGAGGGAGGAGCTCTTTATCAGTACGAGACAACAAATCTAGTTAGCTCCCCGCTTCCAGCTTGGGTCTCAGCCATGGCCCAAATCCTCTGTTCTTATCGTGCCTGGCCAGCTGAAACGTATGACCATCACTTACGGGACAGTGGACTTGACAACAATCTGGGGCATGTTGACACCTTTGTCCCAAGGCCAGAGCAGTGGAACAGGTGTTGGAAGTTAAGAGCGAATTCTCAGTGTTCCTCTGCCTCTCTGCTTGAGGTCAGCTGTTGAGCACTGGTTAAGAATGTGCACCTGTACCCACTGCAGTGTGGCTGGTAAAACGCCATTGGAATGAAGTTTCTATGGTACGGTTGAGGCATTACTGATAGAGCACACCTGGTCTCTGAAACAGTTACGTGTGGATAATGAAGCTGACAACTTCACTGTGTGCCAGGCACTGCTTCAGGCACTTGGTGTCGAATAACCTGTGTAACTGTGATGACAGTCTCGGGAAGTGAGCACTGCTCCTTGGTTCTACATGTAGGGAAACCAACGTGCACATATTTCCAAGCTAGGAAACGGAGGAGCAGGATTTCAGCACCAACAGTCTGCTCTTCTTGAGTCTAGGCTTTCCACTCTATGGAAACAATTCCACCTCGTTTCCCATTTGCCCACCTAGTGGCTCGTACAGGCCCTCAGGATTGCCTGCCAGGGGCTAATATAGTCACCAGTATTTGATTTCTAGGGTTCTGAAGGAAGAATGGAAGGGCCATGGGGACTGTCTGCCTCTGCCCCTGTGCTCAGAAGTTCTGAGAAACTGACCTCAGGATGATTAGAGGGCACATACTTGTCCATTTCCCAGCACGGCTGCTCACCTTAACTACACAGACTGGATCCCTTGTTCATGCGTTAGACAAATGTAGTTGATGCCTTAGGGCTAACAGAATATACCCTTCATCACCACCAGCCTTCTAAAGATAGTGCACTGCCTCACGGCAGTGCGGAGCTTGTGTGCTCTTTTATTCACTTTTACATGCTTCACCAGGCTACAGGCCACTGCTCTTACTTCAGGTTAGTGTTTTGACACCAAGTCTCGGCTCCCACCTCCTCAGAGATGGTTCTACAGGTGAGCAACCACAGCCAGCGAGAAAGTCTTTATGTTTAGCACTATGCCAGCCATTTCTAGAGTGCTTAGTTTCATTATGCAGGTCCAGTTTCCTGTCTGGGTTCTTACTTGTTCCGCCTTAACATTTCATATGACTCATATTTGCTGATAATGAATTTACTCAGATTTTGCTTATCTGCCAAAGACCTTTGTTTACTCTTGCCTTTTAGAAAGTTATTTTTACTGATTAAAGAATCGATCTTATGCCCCATCCCCCACAAAGATTTTATCTGATGCATGCTTTCTGATCAGAAGTTTGTATGTTTTTTTTTCTCCTCCTTCTTTTAGGGTTTTATTTATTTTTACGTTTTATTTTTTGGTTTTTCAAGACGGTTTCTCTGTGTAGCCTTGGCTGTCCTGAACTCGCTTTGTAGACCAGGCTGGCCTTGAACTCACAGAGATCTCTGCCTCCTAGGCATATGCTACCCTGCTTCTTCACCTTTTAAAAAGATTTATTTAATATTTATGAGTGTTCTGTCTGGTGCCTTTGAAGGTCAGAAGAGGGTGTCAGACCTTCTGCCCTAGAGTTATGGATTGTTGTGAAACATCATGTGAGTGCTAAGAACCAAGTCCCGGTCCTCTGCGAGAGCAACGGGCCCTCTTAACCTCCGAGCCCTCCCTCCAGCCCTGCCATTCTTCCTCTGTTCCTGTGTGTCTTTTGCTGAATCCCATAAGATTTTCTGTCTTTGGTTTTCTGCAGTCTGAGTCTGCTTGTATGTGACCCCTTCCATCATGTGTCGAGGGGCCTTTCCCTGCTTAGTGTTTGCTGAGATTCTTGGTAATTCCGTGTCTTTGTTTAGTTTTTGCGTGCTGGGCAGACCCAGAGCTCTGCACATGCTGGGCAGGTGCTCACGTCATTGTCTCTTACAGTGTCCCTCCTGTCTGATGCTCTCATTTTTGGGACTCTGGTTAATGAGTTAATGGGTGTTCTGTTCTGCTTTTCCACCGCTGCCTGCCCCCCAGTTTGGATTACTCATACTTAACTAGTTTGTGGTACCAGCAATTAAGCTTATTTTTTCTGTGTGCATGAGTATTGTGCGTGCGTGCGTGCGTGCGTGCGTGCGTGTGTGTGTGTGTATACACACACACACATACATACATACATATGCGCAATATGACTGTCTTGTGCCCACAGAGACCAGAGGAGATGCTAGATCCCTTGGAACTGGTGGTTGTGAGCCACTGTGGGGTGCTGGGAACGGAACTCCAGTCCTCTATAAATAAGAGCAGCCATGCTCTGAGCCTGAGCCATCTCTTCAGTCCTCCAGTTCCAAGTTTGGGTCCTCCTCCACCCCAGTTGTGCCGTGTCTTCTGGGGAGCCAACAAGAGCATTCATCTCATCTCTGTCACTGGTTTTATTTCTAGAAACTGCGTTTGACTCTTCTTTGTCATTTCCAGCTCACTCCTGAAATTCACCATCTGTTCAGGGGTAGTGTCCAGACTTTCCACTACAGCCTTAACATCCAATCATAGCTATGCATCACAGTAATTGTTGCTATTTGAAATAGTCCATGATCATCCCCGATTCTTGTTCTGTTGATTGTTTTGCCTCTTTACAGTATGGGTTTTTGTTTATTTGTTTCTGAATACACGTGTATCTGTCTTATAATTTTATAGTGAATACCAGATATCACGTGTAGGATCAGAGAAGCTATCTGAAGTAAATAACGTTTACTCCTGGAATAGATTTTCTGTTCTACCTCTGAGCTTTTGAGCTGGGTTGCAATTTGTTGCTATGATTACCTTCAATGTGCCACCAGCCTCATAGTCCCTCACAATTAGACTTGCTCGGCTTTCTGGTTCCCTTCCACTTTAGGCCTCTGCAGGCTCTCCCTGCCTGCCTGCCCCTCTCTCCTGCAGCAGAGGCTGCTCTGCTTCTTTGCTGGTGGGTACTTGCTGGCTGGCCTGGGCAGAGACAACGGTGGCTTTCTTCTGTTGATTTAACCTCAGACTTAGGAAGGTTCTGTGTCCTGCGTCTCAGGGGTACAGCTTTCTTAGTGACCCTGTTCCTTCCTAGTGGTAGGTTTCCTGCCTTTTCTTACATCAGAAAGTGTTCCTTTTCCCTTCTTCTGTGCTGGAGGCAGAAGGTTTTGCCAACTGTTCCCCAAAGCTGGAGCTTTTGTTCATTAGCAGTGAAGGGTCCAGATAAGCCTGCCCTCCTTCCTAGGCCTGCATTCCCAGGCATCACCAAGCCTCCTCCCAGCCTGCATCTAGTGTTTCTTCTAGAGTGCCTGTGGAGCCTTGAGAATGGCCGGGGAGTGAATACAACGTGCCTTTGTGTCCACGACTTAAAGGAACCTAGACTCTTCATTCTAGAACGTACGCCTGCCTAACAATGTTAGCTGATTCCTTGCCACTGCAGCTTCTCATCTGTCTGTATGGTGGCAACACTACAGTGACGGTGACTGCCCGTCTCTCTCGGTGCCACATCTCCCAGCAGCACGCTTAGCTTGAAATCAGCATCGCAGCGATATTCCCATAGTAGCCAGTGCACAGCAGGGCTCTTTTCCACAAGACCAGTCGAGGTTGCCAGAGCATTGTTTGGAGAAACTCAGGAAGGTCAACCGTAGAGATTGGTGCCTTTTCTAAGTGGCTCAGGGCCTCTGGGTGGGTTGGGCTCAGCAGAGTTAGAGTGGTACCCTGAGGGACCTCTGTTGCAGGACAGCCCTGAGCCATGAGGGACCTAGCCCTGGTAGACCCCTTGATGGCAGAGATGTTGTGAGTTCATACTCGTGCCCTTTGCTCCCTCCTTCCCTCAGAGCGAAGCCAGGACAGCACCGCTGTGGCCCTGTCCGACTCCAGCTCCACTCAGGACTTCTTCAGTGAGCCCACAAGCGTGCTGGAGGGTTCTCGGAAGCCCTTTGCAGAGAAGAGGCTGGCCGGGCTCAGTGCTCAAGCAGGACCGACTGGTAAAGATCTTCCGGGGCCCCCAGAGGAAAGAGGTAAGAAACCTAACTTACTAAATGGGACCTGCTTTGATCTCCTGGGGCAGTCTAAGAAGAACTGTGGACTCTGGGCCCTGAAGAGCTTAGACTCCGCCATGCTTCCGTTTTCATGCTTCTGCTTTGGTGCCCTGGGGTGTTAGTGGGAAGGTTGCTGACCTTTCAGGTCCTCTCTTCTCACTATAGGACAGGAACGGGCCTCGTGCCAGATCCCAGGAATGTGAGAATTAGATGAGGCCGCTCTTGAAGGTGTTGCCACGAGCATGGTTTGCCAAGTGTGCTTTATTGTGCTTGTCATGCAGTGATGACACATAAAGCTTGTTTGGGAAAGCCGTGTTCACAATGTCAGTGTAGTGTGTCTGCCGCACCCCCCCACCCCCCGCCTTGGTGAATGGTTATTAGAAAAAGTCTTGGGATTCTGAATGTCACAAATATGTTTTCTTTTTAGTCTGAATCATATCAGACTTGTTGGGAAATCTGCCTTTTTTGGGCAGAGCGCTGATCTAAGCCTGGGATCTGCCCAGCTCCCTTGGGATTCCCAGGCAGAGCCCCACTTCTAAGTCTGCAGCATGACTGTGCGCAGGCTGAGGCATCCCTGGTGCCACTCACAGACTGGGCTAGTTGGCCATGCATTTGTTAAGCTTCCTTTCTTGTCTAGTGTGTGTGATGTGTGGGCATGGGTGTGTGTGCGGGGATGTGTGGGCCGTGCACACAGGTGGAGATCAGAGGCCAGGTCCGCACCTCAGCCCTGTGTGAGCAGGGGACAGGTCCGCACCTCAGCCCTGTGTGAGCAGGGGCTTCGTGTTATTTGCTGCTGTACCTCAGACTGGCCGGCCTGGGAGCTCTCATAGCTTCTCCTGTAACCACCTCCTATCCTGCCACAGGAGCTCTGAGATGCAGATGTTTACTACTGTGTCCAGTTGTACATGGGCTTAGGGAATCTGGATTGAGGTCCTCCTGCTTCCACAGCAAGCCCTACCCATTCAACTATCTTCCCAAGAGTTCCCCCAGTCTTCTAAAGACGTGCGTGTGTGGTCTTGCCAGACAGCCCAGTCCCACATTCAGGGGTCCCGGGTCGGATGCTGCCTTCTCAGCCACCTGAGAAGGAAGGAACATGGCTTTTCCTATTTCCTGGGCAAAGAGCTTGAGATTGAGAAAGAGTGAGGAGCTCAGCCTTAGTCACTACTCCGTGTTGCCTTCTGAGTGGGCTCGATGCAAGATAACTGCATACTCTGGGGGCCTGGGCCTTAGCAAGTGTCTATGTAAGTTAGGGCCTCACTTGGAACTGTGGCAGCGGGGCCAAAGCCATTTGGAGGAGGATAGGACTCTTCTAGCTCCTTGTTCTCTGCTGGCCTTGCAAGAGTCTTATCAGATAGAGTCACCTGTGCCTGGGCACCATCAGGAGACAAGGTTCCAGCTGGGTTTGGTGTGCATGGCTTTACTCCCAGCACTTGGGAAGCAGAAGCAGGTGCATTTCTGTGGGTTCGAGGCCAGCCTGGACTACACAGTGAGACTTAGTCTAGAGAAACAACAAGAGACGGGGGGAAGGGGAGACAGAGAGAGGGGGTTAAAACCAGGGATGGTGATACACCCCTGTAATCCCAGCACTCAGAAGGCTGCAGCTGGTGGATCAGTTTGATAGCAGACTGGGCTACGTAGCAGATTTTGTCTCTGAGGACCAGAAAGAAAAGGGAAGCAGCAGAGCAGAGCCGTGGCCTCACTTTCTGTGGACAGTCTGTAATGGGCATACATACTCTGTAGGAAGCGAGACCAGGAGGACAACAAGCAGCATGCTCTCTGCACTCTAACTCAGCGTTCCTAGTCTAATATGACTGGTTTCGCTCTTGGACAATGAGACAGTTCATCTGTGTCTTGTGACCCACCACGCAGTGAACAGTTGTGCGTGCAGCTGTCGTCATGGACCTCAGTATTAGTTACTTTTCCTTGCTATGACAGAGGTACCTGACAGGAGCAACTTCAGGGAGGTCACCCAGTTTGAGGGGATATGGTCTACAGAAGCTCGAGCTCTGTCCTTTGCGGTTGACGCTGTGACAAGACTTGGTACGTCTCGACAGATCAAAAGGGGAACTGGGACCTGGCTAGCACTCTGAGAGGTCTGACTACCCAGCATTCCTCCAGCTAGGGCCTGTATCTTAAAGGTTCCACAACTTCCTGAAATAGCTGTGAAGCAGGTGTTCAAACACCTGAGCTATGGGGTACACTCCACATCCAAACCATACGGCCTCTCCTCCATGTGTGGGGTACGGCCCTGTTAAACTGATAAGGATTACCCAGTATCCTGCCTTTTCAAATCAGGACCGTTTTGTTTTGTTTTGTTTTGTTTTGTTTTTGGTGAGGGGAGGTGGGCAGTAGTACATTGCTGGCCATTAGTAAGGAATGTTAGGGTAGAACCAGAGACCATTACAGTGGCTAGTAATGGTTTATGTCCCCTCCTGTCCCTGGCCCCCCTCCTTCTCTCCCTCTAGTTTAAGTGAGTTCTTTGACTCTGAGCTACACTTCTAGCCCTTGACCAGCTCTCAGCCTCCCTGAGAAAGCCAGACCTGCAGGCCAGTGTGCACTGAAGTCTGCTGCACTCTCCTGACCCTCCAGGCTCACTCTTCTGGGCAGCCCAGCCCCCAGCCTGCTGCTTCCTCCAGTCCCTATCATGGGATGCAGGCCCTTGTTCACGCATTCGGTGTCCACTAACCGCAGGCTGTGACAGATCCAGATCTACCTCAGGCACTGGGTACTAAAGGGAGCAGACTCCCTGGATCATGCCTATCTCTGAGCCATCTTCCTTCCCACAATGTCCAGCAAGTGTGAAGGGTCCTGTTTTCGAGAGACTGGCCTCCATTCTTTTTTAGAGGCTGTCGCATTTCACACCGGTCTGCTAATGCTCAAGAAAAGACTTTTACACTATTGACTGTGACACCTTTTGACGCTCACCTTTGCAGGACTCAGACCTTCAAAATATATGCTTAGACTGTGTGTGTGTGTGTGTGTGTGTGTGTGTGTGTGTGTGTGTGTATTTAGAGAGAGAAGAACATTGCTTAGAATTTCAGCACTCAAACACAAGCTCACTCTGTAGTATGCAAAACCCAACGTAGAAATTGTCAGTAACCAGTGTTGTCCGTGCAGTGAACACTAGACCGGGGCCACACATGCCGATGAATAGAGGCTTAGTGGCATTGCCTGTGGTTGGCAGGTCCTTCCACCCTTCCCGGGAAACCCACTAGATAGAGCCAGTTCACCATGGCAGGCCTGTGTGATCCAGTTTCCACTGCGTGGCACTGTGTGTTTCCCTCACCTTTGGGTAGGGGAAGCAGATCATCCCATCTTCATGCTGCTGGTGTTTGGTACTTGGCATCCGGCTGGGAAGCAGCATCCTGTGGATGTACAGTGCTTTCTGACCCTCTTCCTTTATCAGGGAAGTGGAAAAGTGGAAGAGTGATCTTGAGACCCAGTAGCAGAGGGAGTTGCATGTTCGGGTGAGGCAGCTCACCTCCTCTTTCCTACACCCCTTGGCCCACCCAGAACTCTGAGCAGCTGAGTTAACTGTCAGAGATTCCATTTTCTTTGGTCCTTCAGTTGTGTGTGCTGCACCCTCCTTGGATGAATTCTTTCCCTCTTCCTGCTCTCTGTAAACATTGTGTTCCTGAGACTTTATGTCTGATCTTCTGGTGTTGTCTCTGCCACCTGCCCCCTGTTCCCTGCCCTGGACCAAGGGCTGTATCGTCGTCCAATTCCCTTGTTTTCCTGGAGCCTCAGGCCGGGCTCGTAGCCATTGTTCCCACAGCTTGTGTGGAGCCGCATTGGGAACACATTAGAAACCTGACGTGCTTGTGAGCAAGATGATGGTAGCACCTGTAAGATGGATGCCAGCCCTAAGCTGGGGTCCAAACAGCATCCTAAGCCCAGAAGAGAGGAGCCGGAGACTCTTTGGGAGTTCGGACACTCTTTCAGTCTACTTCAGACGGGGTGGGCGCTGGGGTGAGTCACTGGCCTGCAGAGCAGGAGCAGACGGTGGGGTTGGGAGAACAGGCCTAGTGAGCGCTGGGCCGCTGGGCCACTGGGCGGCTGGGCGCGGAGACAGTCTGTGTCTGTCCTCTACCAACACTACCTCAGGGCGGGGAGGCCTGAGAGGAAACACTGAGATCTGTGACGGGCAAGTGAGTACGGTGGGAAAAGGCAGAGGTCAGTATGTGTGTCCACCTGAAGTGGGTGGAAAGGAGGTGTTCTGAGGAGCTGAGGAGTCCGGAGAATGGCTGCTCAGTTCTTCCCTTGACAAAGAGCAATGATCTTGCCACATACCTGAGGTCTGCCCAGTTATGCTGGTACTTGCTGTGAGGATAACTTGGAGTCCTGGTCCTGGACTTCTTGACTTTGCCATATTAGGTTTTAGCTACTGCCAGGCCTCCCTCACAGAAGGGGGAGGGCTGTCGAGGCTCTACCTACAGAATAGATTGTCTTCAGAATAGGGGGTACTGGCTCCTTCTCCAGGCAGGCTCTGCAGGATATGCCAAACTCATGGATACCTCAGGGCCATGGGCCCAAAGCCACCTTGTCTCTTGCTTCCTGAGCCAGAAGGCCTCCTCCATGGGTAGCCAAGGAGGCTGTGCTTCAGGAGGGGTGGTATGAGGCCATTCGGTACTGCCATTTTGAGACCTGTCCTTGGCTCCCCTGTGCTGCCTGAGGAGCGCAGCTGGACGTTGAGGTATTGGACTTGTCGAGCAGGCACCGAGCACAGACACTTGCCCCACCTGCAGCAGCCCAGCAGGAAGTTGGGGGAGGCTGTAAGCTGAGGTCCTGTGCTGGCACTGAAGAGGTGTGTCACTTGGCCAACCTTTTCCTGGCCATTTGACTAGCAGTGGTGATGTCTCCTCCCCTCTGTGGACCGATATACCATTGCTGATGGCACCTTTCCATACTCCCTGGTAGGAGCCAGAGCCCAGCTCTCTATAGCCTCTGGGTCCTCTGCTGCAAGCCAGCTGGGACCCCCCATGTCTTGGGGCAGGAGCCTATGTGGCCAGAGCAAGTAGGGGCTCCAGCCAGAGCCAGCACCAGGCCTGTGTCTCCATTGCTGGGTTCATTGCCCATCAAGCATGGGCATCAACCCTGTGTCCCTGTCACCTCACTGACGTGATAGACTACTGCATGAAGGGAGCTTAAAGCCACACTGACTTTCTCTTCCTTCTTAACTGTAGGAAAAGCTGAGGAGTTCTTGGAGAGCACAGAGGCCTTCCGGGTTGTAGAACCAGGCATCCAGAAGCCTGTGGCAGACTCCTCTGCTTGCATCCCCAGCAAGCCCCCGGTGTCCACACCTCCCTTGTGGGATGGGAAGAAGAGGGGTGACCCCCTAGGGGAGCCAGTGGCGGCATCGGCTTTCCCCCAGGGACTGCCAGCAGGCGCCGAGGAGCAGCGGCAGTTCCTCACCGAGCAGTGCATCTCCTCCTTCTGCCTGTGCCTGAGCCGCTTCCCGCAGCACTACAAGAGTCTCTACCGCCTGGCCTTCCTCTACACCTACAGCAAGACCCACCGGGTGAGAGAGAGGGCCTGGGGGGTGTGCATGACGCCTCAGCCAGGTGGGGTCCCCTGGGTCATTTTGGTGGTTCTGTGGTGGTCCATGCAGGAGATAGGCCTAGTCAACCCAGCCATGTCCATTAGTTTCTGCTGGCTCTTCTCTTAGCCGAATTCCCAGATTGGATTCCTTGATTTGTAGAAATGGAATGCTGACCATGATTCTGAGAGAGATGCCTCTGGGGTGGACACTCTCTTCTTCTCAATGTTAGACAACCTCCTGTGGAGATAGCAATGTAGAATGTCTCGTGTGCCTTGGGTGTTTCTATGACAGCAGGTCTGCTCTGGACCCTGTGTCCCTGGGCTGCCTCTACTATTGGGGGAGCTTTTGTGGGCTTCATCGACAGGCCTTTACTGAACATCAGTTGCCGGCTACAACTTGAATGACAGGTTAGCACCAAGTTCTACTGAGCTTTTGAGTTATACCTTCCTGCTGCTCAGGGCAAACCTCTGTTCTAAGGGTGAGTCTTGAGTGCCAACTCGGCTGGCAGCCGCTTCTTGAATGTTGGAACATAACTCAGTTGTAGCTGACTAATTCAGAAACATTAACTGGCAAGAAGTGACCCTTTCCACACATACCTGTTTGGTAACGAACACTTCCTTCCCAATGTGTGTATTTGACAGCAGCACATTTTGTTACCAAACCGGCCTGTAGGCGTAGCAGAGGCATTTTCCTGTTGCTGCTTTATGGCTCGGTGGCCAACTGGAGCGTTAGGTTTCTGTCTACTCTGGGGTCCACCAGGCAGAGCTGCCCATGGTTGGACAGTTAGCTGCTGCTGATCCCTTAGGTCTTTCACATGTCACTCCAGGTGAAGTCATTGCCTCACTGTGTGTTCTGAAGCAGGCCCCTCCTAGGGACAGACCCCGGCTCTGTGGCTAGGCACCCTTGGAGGCTCAAGGCTGTTTGGTTGAAGGATACTGGTGGTGATATACATCTAGAATTGTGAGAACGGGGGTGGGTGGGCAAACGGCCCCTCTTTCCCGTTAGCCAGACCCATCTCCCCTGTCTCCCCAACTCTGTAGCTGCTGCCCACCTCACACCCCCCAATTAGGCCTTCCAAGGACTGTGCCTGGAACAGTTGTCAAGGGCTAGGTCTTCTCCTGAGGGACCTTTGATGCCTATGTGTGGCTGCCCTCCATGTTGTATCAGGATACCTCTTATCGTTTGGGCTCCTACCTCACCAGTACGGGTCTGGATGAAAGATGCGGTATTGGGCCACCTTTGCCCTGTTGTCCTGGAACTGAGGTCCTCCAGTTTTTGCTGTAACTACGATAAGCAGCCCAGTGCAGAGGCTGATAAAGTGGGCCCTGGAGCCAAACAGCCAAATGAAAACGAAGTTGGTGATATACATTCCCAGTTTCAACATAGTAATATAGTAATAATATAGTAATAAATCTATAGTCAATAATAGTATAAGATGTTATTCAGTCTTGAAAAGGAAGGAACTCCTGTACCAATATGGATGAACCTGAAGGTCTTGTATTCAGTGAAATAAGCTAGTCACAAAAAGGCAAACACTGAGTCCATTCATATACTCTATATAGGAGTCTTGATTATGCATCCAGTCTGTCTACCTTTTGGTTGGAGAGTCTTTTGAGCCTTTGGGGGCCAGAGGGAGGGAGACAGATTGCCCATAAAGGTTGCTGCTTTTCCAGCTTCTCTCCCACAGAGGAATGGAGATGCAGAAGTCTGAAGGGCTTGAACACTGTGCCCAGGCATCTGTTACAAATAAGATTCCTTAAGCTTGGACAGTTGTAACTGGTTGTGTTTTAGTGTGTTCCTCTGCTATGGTTTCTGTGTATTTGGACAGGTTCATCATCTGTCTACTGAGCGGTTGCTACGTGGTAGCCCCTCTTGAGGAGCCAGGGATCAAAAGAAAGCTCTCAAGTGTGCCCATTGGTTATCAGGGAGCAGAAAACGTGTCTGCTAGCAGCTAGTGATAAGTCTGGGAGGCAGTAAACTGGGTAAGGGAATGGAAGGGATGGTACGGCTGTTTAGACAGAAAGGTCACGGGAGGCCTTTCTGACCAGAGTTGTGAATCAGGCAGTGGAGTCCTGAAACCCATGAGGAAGTCACAAGTAAGAGTCTTCCAGGTGGATGGTCGGGCTGCACACCCATCTTGAATCAGATCGGGCCTGGTGGAAAGTGGTGGACAAGGAGGGGCGGAAGAGGATGTGATCACAGGCTCACCAGTTCAGCAGTAGAAGTTGCAGGGACACTGTTGCAGCGTCAGAGGCAGGGGGTTTGGGCTTTGTGTGTCCTTAGAGTGTGAGGGACACTGGACCTCGGTTTAGACAGGACGTAGCAGGTGTGCTGTGGAAACCTAGAAGGATCCAAGCGGCACTCTTGAAGGGCCTGAATGGAGAGTAGGACGAACCCACAAGGGAGGAATGATGCAGGGCTATCCGTGGTCTTCCCCAGAGGCTGATGGCCTCTTCCAGCTGTGGCCTCTAAGGGCGCACAGTCAGGAAGTAGTTCTCCTTCGTTGAATACTTTCTCCGTTGAGTAATATTCCCAGGAATAATGGGAGAATTGCCTTTTCTTTTCCATTCTCGGAGAAGGGTTCTTGCTAAGCCAATTCCTGTGGACAGGTGAAGGGTTGAACCCAGCTGAGGCCCATAGCTGCCCTCCTGGAAGCTGTCCTACATGCTGGAGCAGGTCACTGCGGAGTCCAGCTGGTCTTATTTGCAGGTTCCTGCTGCCTGACTGTACATACAGGCAGATATCATGGGGTCTGGCCTCCATGTGCCCCGATTTTTCTTGTGGGACCACTGTCATCGGTTCTCTGGCTAGTGAAAGAGACCCAGGCACAGGACGTCATCTAGGTTGTCCACGCAGTAGTGGTAGATGTGTCTGAGATCAGGTCTCCCTTGCAGCCTTGGCCATCTTGGAATTGCAGGTTCTCTGAAGGACAGTAGCTCTGTTTTCCTCTCCAGTCAGCAGGCACTGCTAAGCCCCCTTGAGTACAGAGTTCAGAAGGTACGGGTAGGGACGCAGGCTGCCCACACTGCGTCTGTAAGGTTCCGAGTAGCCGTGGACGCCAGCCTGGTGTGCAGTGTATTGAAGTGAGTGTGGTTTGAGCAAGTTAGCAGACAGACACAGTTGAGACGGTCCACGAGCATAGGCTGTCTGGCTGGACTGGCCCAGGCCTTGGGGGTAGCTGAGGCAGCCGCAGACGTGCCCAGTGACCCCGTTGCCCACCTTTATGGCCCCTTTCTTGATTTCAGACTGCACCAGAGACTCCTGGCTACTCTATTCTCGGCCCCTGAGGGGCCTCTTTCTGCCATCGCACCTCAGACCTGGAAACAGCTGCAGAGTGTGCTTTCCACCAGAGCGCAGGGCCGAGTCTGAAAGACGAGTCTGTAATCCAAGTTCGGTTGGCAGCCAGTGTCTGTTGTAGGAATTGTGAAACTTGTCTTGCTGCCCCTGTATGAGTCAGGAAGGAATGTGGGTCCCTGTTCCACAGCCACAGAGGCCTGCATCAACTCCTCCCCCACCCTGGCTCCAGCTTCCTCATACTTCCAGCCAAAAGGATATCTTTTCACCTTGGTTTCCTAAGGAAGTGGTGGCTTCTATGAAGATGCTTCTTCAGGTGGTGCTCTGTCTCCTTCCCACCTCAAACTGCTGCTACTCATGCAGGTCATCCCCACTCTGCTCACAAGTCCCTCGGGGGCACTAGGGACACTTGTGTCACAGCACTGTGGTAGCCTTTCCCAGGCCTGTGCAGCCCAGGCCCATGTCCTGTGTCTCTTGGGGTTACTCACCTCAGAGTTTCCACAGACTTAGGCCATGTCTCTGCTTCACAGGAGACCACACCTAGCTCTCGTACTAACCAAGCTGGACTTCGGCTCTCTGGTCAGTTGGAGTCTTGCCAGAATGCATCCCCCAGCCCTATAACAGTCGGGTGCACACCATAGCCCAGGTGTTGCCCACCTGACTGACTTCAGATGAGGTCAAAGGTGGGTGTCCTTTGTGCCCAACTTCCAGAGTCAGATGGGTCACTGGATGTATTAGAAGTACAAATGGGGGTTTGGGATGTAGCTCAGTATTAGAACGCCAACCTTGCATGACTAAGGTCCTGGGTTTGATCCCCAGCCCTGCAAAAATGGGTAAGTTACTGGTTGATTTAAAAAACAAAACAGACAAACAAAAACAAGAATAGCAGTACATGCCTGTAATCCCAGCAACTTGTAAAGGCAAGAGGATCCAGAGTTCAGGCCAGTCTGGGTGACTTCGCCAGTCTCTCAGAATTTAAATTAAAAAAAAAAAAAAAAGAATGACTGGGGATGTAGCTCAGAGGTAGAGCGCTCACCTACTATGTGTAAACCTGTGTCCAAACTCCAGCACTGCACACAACTCCCCAAACTCGGCACGTGGTCTCCTGTTGCATGCTCTGTGTCTTCCTCTGTGAATGTCTGTTCGTGGCAGGTTGGACCAGACGTCAGTCAGTTCACCTGGCCTAGGCATCCCCTCAGAAGAGACTGAAGGAGTTGGCACTAAGACCCAGGCTCCACGGCTGGGCACTGCTGTGGCCTCGAGCTTCTTTCCTGGGCTCCCTGCTTGGATGAGGCTTGAGGCTTGAGCCTGTGTCGCCTCACAGCCTTGATGGGCAAGTTAGGCTACTCTTGGTTTTTATTCCTTTCCTGTTCGACCTATCCTGTCTCTGCTCTGCTCTGTTTCTTTGTGGCTACCCTTTTCTCTCTAAGCCTGCCGGAGCAGAGGTGCATGAACTGGAGGCATTGTGGGATATGGAAGGGATGATGTCAGTCTAGGACTTGAAACCAGGTTAGAATGTTTGTGTGTGAAGGCCTGGGAATTGTGTCTCCAGAACCTGGCTAGTGGGCATTTGAATGTGGATCACCCATTGGTCCTACTGGAGCCTTAACAGCCCAGGTGAAGCAGGGACTGAGCATTTTACTCTGCTCCTTGAGTGTGAAGAAGCATGTACTCCATGCTTCAAATCTGGGGACCTAGCTCAAGTAAGCAGGAACCCCACCTCTTTATTCACCTTGAAGAGATGGCATATTTCCTGGAGGCCCTGGAAAGGCCTGTGAGTATGAGAAGCAGTGGACACAGCCTAACACCAGCTGAGCCTCGGAAAGAATGGCCTCTACCTTGTCTCGGTGGAAGTTCCTCCTTGAGCTAGACCCTCTGCTTGCTCACTCAGCATGTCAGGTTCAAGTTGAAACAGGAGTCGGGACTCAGCGGTTCAGCCAGAACCAGCTCCACCTCCAAGGCTTCCAGGGGTCATGTGGGCAGAGTGCCCTCTGTCTGCTGCTGTTGCTCTCTTCCTGGGATGCGGGGCTGCCCGGGGCTTTCTTGGCCCTACCTGCATGTCAGGTAAGAAGACAAGGGTGTAGTCTTGGGCAGAGCAGCCTTGACTTTCTAAGGCATTAGCCTTTGGTCACTAAGACCCGGGTCTTGCCCTTGAAGAAATTGGCCTTGGAATCAATGCTCAGCTTAACTATCCAACCTGAAGGAAATCAGGCCATCTTCTGTTAACCTCCATGGAAAACTCAAGCCTTTTCTGCCTTGAGTATATTTTCTAGAGGTGCATACTTATGACCTCACCTATGCCTGTTGCTAAAGGATCTTCATTCTTGTGTGTCCCAAACCCTTGGCCACAGAGTCCTGAAAATGCTAGGAAGCTACTTGTGGAGGTGACTCTTTGTAGAGACAGAGCAGAGGCTCAGATGTCAGGCAGCATGTGTCTCACTTGGCGTCAGGATTTCTACTTATACCTAAAGTAATATTGGCCAGCAGAATGGGAACAGGTGAGCATTTGGAGCACCTGGAGTCCAAAGCTGGGTCCAGGACGAGGTGAGGCAAGCAAGAGCCTCAAGACAGAAGGGAACACTGATTGGGTGGGGAGGGTGAATGCTGTAGAAAGGGTGAAGGGGCCATGGACCCAGAGGGGCGTGGCTAGGGTTCTCATTTCAGCTGTATACCCAGAGAGGGGAAGGTGCTAGCCAGACACCTGGTGGGAAAGGACTGCTCTCTCTCTAGGCTAGTGAAAAGGTCTTAGGTCAGCCTGTCCCTCCCTGCTCTCCTTCCATCTCTCAGGACTCCTACATGGGTTCCAGCAAGAAGCCCCATTGCCAAGAGAACCTGGGCCCAAGCAAAGCCCAGACCTCTAAGACAACTCTACTACAGGTTAAAATAAGTAAGATTAGTGATAAATGAGTGTGATCTGCCTTTGGGGCCACTAAGGGTCCCCAGTAGTATGTGGACATTGAGTCTACATGGCAGTTTTGCAGGGTCGGGCAAAGTGAGGGGTCCCTCTATGCCCACTGCCTTATGCAGTCTGAAGCCACATTCATAAGTCAGTTATGATGAAGGGGAAAAAAAGAAATCACTTCTAAAAATGCATCCCACAACCCAGTACTCAGAGCTCTTGTCCAGAGCCTCCTGGAGCTATAGGATCGATGTCTGCAGAGCTGCTGTTGACCAGTGTTTTTGCCAGTGCAGCCATGAAGAAGGGACCACCTGCCTTCCCATGGGCACCCTGAGCAGCCCACACACTCACTTCCAACCTACTTCTTGTTTCCCCAGAACCTCCAGTGGGCCCGTGATGTGTTGCTAGGCAGCAGTATCCCATGGCAACAACTGCAGCACATGCCGGCACAGGGGCTCTTCTGCGAGAGGAACAAGACCAATTTCTTCAACGTGAGTACTTTGCCTTGTTGATTTCTGAGGCTGCTTGCTGCCACTGCTTCTCACTAAAGCTGTGTGAATTGCCCCCCTGGTCAGGTGCTTGCAGAGCCTCAGGTGTGTGGCATCCTCAGAGTGCAGACAGGGGGTACAGACAAGAGAATTCAAAACTGATTCGGGGCTGTAATTAACTGAGTGACTTCTAGCAAGTCTCTCTTCTCCCCTGGGCACTGGGGAGAGGCATGGATGAGCTGTGTGTGTCCTCTAGAGGCCTGGGTGTTCGGGGGCCATATGGCAAGTGAGAGTGGACTTCGGGCTTGTAGCTCTGGAGCAGGTCCACCTCCCCCATGTGATCTTGGGCACCGAGGAGCTTCTCGATAAGGCTGACTCTACTACTTGAAAATAAGTTTTCCCAAGGCTGGGCCTTCAGTGCCCTTCCAGCTAGCCTTGCCATTCCAGGTGAGGGGAGAGCAGTGTTTTCATCGGCTGCCCTTGTCTGCCTCCTAGAAGCACCTGCCTTCCTCAGCACCTGCCAGCCCAGCCTCCCCATGTGTGCTCTGCCCCATCCAGGGCCGGTGGGCCGGCTCTCTTCTACCTTTAGTCCAAGTCTTCTCCATCCTCCGCACCCCTCCCAGCATGGCTGGCTCCCAGCTAGGTGACCTTGGCATGTCACACAACCCCTCTTAGCCTTGTTTTCTTCTGTATTTCCCCTGATTTCTTGATACTCAGAGAGAAATTTAAGGGCAGGGTTTGCCAAAGGTGTTGACAGGCAGGAGGGTTGTGGCAGGGGCAGATCTTTAAGGTGCAAGGCTGCCGGGGCCCTCACTGAGAGCTAGTCAAGTGGTGGAATTATCCAGTTCCATGGCTCATCCTTTCTCCCAGGCTGTAACTTGGGGGTCAGAAGGCATTCAAGTCTAGAACCCTGTGCTCACTATGTTGACATTTACAGACAGATAGTAAGTGTGTCATTGGTAATCAGACTACATAGTACTACAGGATTTGCTGTGAAAAAGAGCACCCACATACCCTTTGCCCAGACAGTAGCCTTACTCCACAGCAGGAGCAGTTCTTTGTCCCAAGAGCACATCCTTCCAGAAGACCTTTCGAAGCCAGTGCGTGTATCTGTACACAGAGAACAGAAGCATATGCAGTTCTGTCCTTAGTGGTATTTGTTTGTTTTTCCCCTAATAGCATCTCTTAGAGAGTGTTTTAAAATATGTTCATTCCATTTATCATTCATTGCAGTGCTGGGGATCAAAACCGGGGCCTGGCTCAGGCTAAGCTAGTGTTGTACAGTGATCTCTATCCCTGCCTGAAAAGGGGCCTTGCCATAGCCTGGGCTGGCCTCAGTCCTGCCGTCCTGCCATCTCAGCCTCCGAGTGCCCGAATTACAGGCATGCTCTGTTGTATCCAGCGCACACCTTTTGGTTTGTTTGTTTTCCTGAGTCGGGACCTCTAGCTTAGGCTGGCCTCAGACTCACTGAGTAGTCAGAGATGTTCAGATGCTCCTGCCTCTACCTCCCCAAGTGCTGGGATTCTAGGCATTCATCACCATTCCTGCCTTTGATCATTCTTTTTATAGCTGCACAGTATTCAGGTGCGCTGGTCGATGTTTAGATTATTCCCGGTCTTCTGTTACTACAAGCAACACTTCAGATATTTATTTATCTTTGTACATGTGTGGGAGCCCGTTTATAAGAAAAAGCCTAGAAATGGAATTCCTGCCTGGGTTAAGATGTTTGTGGTACTTTTAAAGTATCAATGGGTACCATGCTCCAGGACCTACCCCTCCCCCCACCTTTACACACATGCTTTGTTTCTCAGGACTTCATCAGTTCATCAGTACTGTTAATAGTTTTTAACTTCGCCAGGCAGTGGTGGTGCACGCCTTTAATCCCAGCACTCAAGAGGCAGAGCCAGGCGGATCTCTGTGAGTTCGAGGCCAGCCTGGGCTACAGAGTGAGATCCAGGACAGGCACCAAAACTACATAGACAAACCCTGTCTTGAAACCAACCCCCCTCAAAAAAAAGTTTTAAACTTCATAGTCTTAAGGGTTTTGTGTTTATGTGCATACATGTGTTGGGGCACTTGTATCATAGTGTGCATGTCCTGGCTTATAAATATAAATCAGGACAGCACTGTGGAGCCAGCTCTTTACCTCCTCATTTGTTTTGGGCTGTGGGGATCAAGCTCAGGGTAGGCTCGCACAGCAAGTGCTTCTGTCTTCGGAGCCATCTCGATGGCTCTAATTTAGGGTGTGGGGAAACAGGCTTGCTATGTAGAAACTCATGATTCTCCCATTTCAGCCTCCTGGGTGAATATCTGCTTTTTAGTAAGGGGGAGGGACCTCTTACCATGTTTCATTCCCTGTGAATGAGATTCTGTATAATATATTAACTGTAGAAATTATTTTTCTGTGGTGTCGGGCATTGAGCCTAGGACCCCACACATGTAGGGAAGCAAACTACCACTGAACGGTGTCCCGGTCCAACAGTTTTAGCTTTGATACAGTTTCTGTTCATAGTTTTTGTTCTGCTGGACCATCAGTTCTTTTGTTAGTGATTTAGAAGACACTATATATTAATTAAGTGGGCCCTTTTGCAAACTTATTTTTCTGTAGTTGAGTTAGAGTCAGGCAAGTTGTTTAATTTTTTGATCTCTTTGGTAACTCACCTCATAAAGTGGAGTTCTATTACCCGACTTGAAAAATAACTGTAGGTTCCCCAGTGTGGTGGTACATGCCTGTAATTCTCTACTCAGAAGGCTCAGACAGGATTGTCTGAGCTAGGAAGACATAGGGAGACTCTGTCTTAAACGAAGAAGGGTAACTGTAGGAACCAAGTTAGATAATGGTGTAGTGCCTGAAACCCAGATTTTGGCACTTGGTAGGTACTAAGAAAAATAATTTCCTTCCTGCCTTCCCTACTGTTGGTCTTTGATCTCTTAAAGACAGTATAGGGATATTGCAAGGTGAGGCTAAGCCTCCATGCCTTCCTCACGCGTGAGTCTTCCCACCTTGCTGATATTGAAATTGAAAAGTCATCGTTCAGCCAGGGGCCGCAGCCTCTTTCCCGTTACGTTCACTCCTTGCAGCTCCTCCTGTGATTTCTGGAACCCCTTCTTCCAGAAAATGAGTCCTGCCCAAATAAAAGGCAGTCCCGAGGTTCTACCTGGGAGGACTAGAACCCCTTGTGGGCCTGGTGTGTGTGGCATTCCTCCTTGGCCACCTCTGTTGTTTTAAAATCCTTAGCCTCTATGGCTTGTGCCTAGCATGGCAAGAAGTGTTGGGCAGGCACCTGGAGAGATGGCTCATTGGTTAAGAGCACTGGCTGCTCTTCCAGAGAACCTGAGTTTGACTCCCAGCTCTTACATGGTGGCCAACAACTGTCCGTAATGACAATCTCGGGATCCAATGACTACCAAGGGCACCAGGCACACAAGTGGTGCCCAGACACATGTAGGCAAAGCACCCATACACATAAAATAATAACATAAATAATTTTTACTGAAAAGTTCTGAGATACCATGAGAACTCTGCACGTACATCCAGCATCCTTGACTAAGTTTGAGAAAAGTATTTAGCAACATGTCAAAGAATCATTTAGGGCAGTCCTTTGTTCCTTGCTGGGTATGGCAGTGTCCCACAGGCCTGTGTCCCTGGGCTGTGCATGCTGACCTGATCTGGGAAGATCCCTCATCCTCAGATCATAGGCAGGGAACCCTTGTGTCATGTACTAATGACAGTTTTTTTAGAAATGTGGATGCTTAATAGGACCACGATGTCACCACCAGCAGTTCAGACACAGAAAACCTTAGCCTCTTGACAACTACTCTGTCTTCTCAGAGCTGCTCCTGTGAGCACTCCTGTGTTGTTTTTAAAATAGGCCTGTTTGTATGTGTGCATGTGTCAACAATGGATGCGACTTTCATGTTTGTTTCTTTGTTTTATTGACACTAAATCTTGGAGAAGTTTCCAGGCTGTCTTTGCAGCTGATGTGGCTCCTGGGTTCTTCAGGCCCTAGCCCAACCCTTGTTGCCATGCTGGGCCCCAGGCCTAACTGAGGACAGCAGAGGCCCACAGGGCTGCTCCTCGCCTCTTAGGTGAGCGTGTCAGGGGCCAGGGCTTTCGTCGGTGTTGTGCTTCTCTGAGTCTCCTGGTCTGTGTGAGTGAGTGCACGGTGACTCCACCCTCTTCTGGAGATGGATGGCCTCCAGGCACAGCCTCCCAGTCCGTGAGTGCTGATATGGTGGGGACAGGATTCAGGGGCTTCGTCCTAGAGCCCCTTATGCACATCCGGTCGAAGGCCTTGAGTGGCTGCTGTAGACCATGCGGGAAGTGCAGGGAGGGTGCCGCTCAGCTAAGAAGAGATTGGAAACCGAGGCCAGGATTAGAACACCTTTGGGGGCAGATCTTCGGGCCCTCCCTGAGGAAACTGACTGAGCCTCTGTGGGAAGTGCACAGGGCAAGGGAAGGAGGAGGTAGGTTGTAAAGGGCATGGGTAGATGGACTGGGGTTCTAATGCCAGATTTCCTGATAGGAGTTTTTCCACACAGGGCCTGTTGCACAGCAGGCTGGACCCATGGGTGAGGGAGGGATCGAGGAATGAACTCGATGCAACTACAGTCCCATTGTTCACATACCGATGGAATCAGCGTCACCAGAGAGACTAGCTCCCCCACGGAGCCTCCTCTTGTCACCCCACTTCTGTCATGGGCTGGGAAGATGGCTCAGTGGGTATCTTGGTTTGCTTTTCATTGCTGTGATAAAGACCATAACCAAAAACAAATTAGGGAGGAAGGGGTTATCTCATCTCTCAAGTTATACAGTTCATCATACATGGAAGTCAGGACAGGAACTCAAGGCAGAAAACTGGAGGCAGGAGCTGAAGCAGAGACCATGGAGGAGTGCTGCTTACTGGATTGCTCCCATGACTTACTCAGCCTGTTTTCTTATACCACAGGGCCACCTGCCCAGGGGTGCTTCCCCATCAACAATTAATCAAGAAATAGCCCT